GCATCCAGGCCTTTCTTCAAACAATCTACTGAGTTAGCCAAACTTAATTCTGACTACAAGGACACCTTTCACCCATTTACAAATAGATTTTACCCACATGCCAAAAACAGGACAGAGGCAAGAGTTTTTGTTGGTAATGGTGGATATGTTTAGCAGATGGGTGGAAGCATTTGTCACTAATAAAGAAGACGCACAAACTGTAGTCAGAATTCTTACACAGGAGATAATACCCAGATGGGGATGTCCGCTGCAGATAAATTCTGATAACGGACCAGCTTTTGTGGCCAAGGTATGTCAAGATTTGGTAAAAGTACTTAAGATAGATTGGAAGTTTCATATTCCCTATCATCCTCAAAGTTCGGGTATAGTAGAAAGGATGAACAGGACGATTAAGGATAAGTTGAGGAAGGCCACTGGAGGAACCTATACCCACTGGAAGAAGATGTTACCTGCAATTCTAGCAGAGGTAAGAATGACACCTAATAAGACTACAGGGTTATCTCCTTTTGAAATATTAATGGGAAGACCGTTCCCCACTCCTTGGGCTAGACAGCCACTTATGTTAGAAAGAGGGGACCTTGACCTGGTACAACAAGAACATGTGAGAAAATTGATTCAGAGTTTAGATAAGGTTGAAAGAAATGTTGCTCGCACTTTTTCTTTATTTTTTCAGGAATCAACACACCTTTTCCAAGTGGGAGATATCGTAGTGGTCCGCCAACTCGCTAAAGACAAGAAGCAAGGCTACCCCTTTGGACCACCTACTACGGTGATAGCGGTTACCAGAACGGCTGTTCTGGTGGAGAATTCCCAGTCCTGGATCCATGCTAGTTGAGTGAAGAAGGTGAACCAAACACCTGAGAAACATGAGATGGAAAAAGGAGGTGAAGTATGAGAGAAAAATCCTCGAAGAGTGGGTGAAGTAAGTGAAAAAGGCCCTGAAGATGAAATTTTTTACTGCCCCTCATGGTGCTTTGAAACTCTGGATCCTATTGGGCACACTGACTGTGCTCTTTTTCCTGCCAGTATGGATCCTAACTAACTGTATTTATCACCCTGAGGACTTGGGCCTAATAAAAGGTATCTGTGGTCAAGGACTAGTTTTTTTAAATGAGACCCAGATAACCAAAAGTGAAAGAAAGTCAAAAAGAAAGTTTTGAAGAGAACAATCCTTTTTCAGGAAAAATGTTGATGATGCAGTTTAAATATGCTTATGCTCAAAAGTCAGGTTATGATAAATGTTGGATATGTAGTAAGTTACATCCTAGCACATATGAAATTCCTCTTCTGGCCGCTCCAGTCAAAATATTTTTGTTAATAAAAGGGAATGTAAGTATTGGTTTGACCAATATTGCTTCTAATGCCACCATATTTTTTCCAACTCTGGGAGTCACTCAACTCCCCGATTGGTGTTTTAGACTGGGGAATACTTCTCACAAGGGAAGGGGAATGTGCTCTCAGTCCATATTAAACATATCTGATCCTGGAAGGAGGGATGGAACTTCTTCTGTGAAACTCTGGCAAGTAAATGGTAAACCCTGAAGGAAAGTTTAGAAGGGATACAAGATAATGTGGGGAAAGCTATGTTTGGAAAACTTCTTTTTTATTTTACACTTGTTGTCACCCCTGAATTTCATTCTGCAATACAAAAATTGCCGATCTCCTTGGGAAACAATACCTATATCTGTTGTGGTAAGATCTGTTACCCTTGGATACCGAGTAATGTCCAGGGCTGGTGCTATGTAGCCCAATTAGTGCCAATTATGGCAGCTATAGACCAAAAGGAACACCAGGTAAAAGCCAGTACATACCCAAAATACCAACTAACTCTGAGACAGAGAAGGGAAAACCAAACAAGAAAAGGTAGATCTATTCTCTACAGGGGATAAGGTTTGGTCATGGTTTCCTACTACACTGGGATGGGGAATAACACTCATGAACAAAATAAATAATATTACACAAACATTATTGATGATATACTGGAGAGGAACTCTAAGGACATGGGGTTGCTAAATACTGAGACCAGAGCTATTAGAAAACAGCTGGAGATGCAAGAATTAGCTATTGAAAGTATGAGTGCTGCTCTGACAGGTTTGTGTGAGATGACAGAGGATTATGAATGTTGTACTTGGATATATAATACCACAATGACTGTTCCAGATTATTATGAAATAATAAAGCAACACAGGGAACAGGTAGATGGTTTGATGGAAGAAGCTAGAGCTATAGGAAAAGATGGATGGACTCATTTTGATTGGTTAGGATCAGGATTTGGTTCCATCTTTTCATGGATGAAAGGTATCACTGTAAGCATAGTCATGATATTGTTTTTTGTTTTATCTTTATATCTATGTTTTAAATGCTCATTATATTGCATTGCTAGAGCTACAAAGCTGCAGACTACAAATGAAGGTTATCTAGCTATGTACAAAAAGATGAATGAAGTAAAGAATTGAGATCATGTTCATGATCTTAGAGGGGATTGAAAGGATCTAGATAACTTCCATTTTGTATTATGTACGCCATTTTTAAGTATTAAGTATTAAGTTAGCTTTTTGTAGAGATATTAGAAGTTTAATGAAACTGTTTTTGGTTGTTCAAGGATGTATCAACAGAAGCTAACATGACCCTGACAATGTCTTTGTCTGGCTGTTTTCCCAGAAAGTTAGCCAAAATAATTTGTACCAAGAAATGTATATGTTATGTTTCATGTAGTTAGCTCATGTTGGAAAGTTACAAGTTACAGTTTTGAAACTCGCTCCCCCCTCCCTTATTATTATCTGTAGTCTATATAATCTTATTAATGTCTAATAAACTTTGAACATCTCTGAACATAAGCCGTATGTCGTGATTTCCGTGTTCAAGGGGTGTTCCCAGAATTCTGCTGATAAACCAGGAATCTCTCCACAGACCGGGGGTCTCTGAGGGGAAAAGAAAATCATTCCTTTCAGTAAGGGAACAAAATATGGCAACAATAAGTGCTGCAAACTGCAGCCACCTCAATCCATTAAAAAACGACATGCATAACATACACCTTCATTATTACCCGACCATACAGTTGCACTTTTAGTACTAGGATGTACCTCATTCAGTGCAACTAGTGCAACCAGGGATGTTACATTGGTGAAACGGGACAACAATTACAAAAACAATGAATCTACATAATGAAGATGATTGCTGCACACCTTTTGTTTGCTGTACACCTTTTTTTCACAAAAAGTCCCCTCTATGGAAGAAATAAATGTTTTGTTTTTTTATAATGGTTCTACAGCCTTAAGGTTTTTTATTTTAAAGTAGAACATTAAAATAAAATCCCACTAGATCACTTCAGGCTGGCTCCTTTTGATTGTATAGCTATGTAAAAGTAAGTGCCTATACTGCTTAAAACCCAGTAATACACTGTTTCACTCTTCTCTGCACATGCTCAGTTGTGCTCTATTTTGTGTCACTGTGCTGAATCTGTAGAGACTGCTGACAGCCTAAAGATTTACTGTTGCTCAGGGGATCAAGAGTTCAGCAAAATGGCAGCCTCCAGCAAGAAGAAAAAGGGAATAATGCTGGAGACAATTTACATCACACACTCATTTTGGAAGCATATGTGGAATGTATGTTCCTTGCTAAAGAACATTATTTTTTATCAATTTGTTATTATATGCATTAAGGTAAAAACCTTCTGCTGCAGAGGATCCCCCAGCTCTCCTTTATACTTACCTGAGCCTGATCTCGATCCAGCAGCAGCTCTCCCAGCTCTGTCCCTCCTTATTGGGCAGATTGAAGTGGGAACCATAGACTCCTACTCCTGTCAATAAAATTATATGAGGAGGGAGCCATGAATGGTCGATAGACACAGATAGGGTGGCTTTGGAAAGCAGCTTTCTATGGGGGCACCTGGTGGAAAGGAGGAGCCAGGACCGCCAGAAGGGGATCCTAGAAGAGGAGACTGCTCTGTACAATACCATTGCAAAGAGCAGGTAAGTGTGACATGTTTGTTATTTTAATAAAAAATGGAACCTTTACAATCACTTTAAAGGGAACTTTAACCACTTCCCGACCGACCCTATAGCAGATATACTACTACAGGGCGGCCCGGGTGCGCAAAATCATGTATATATACGTGATTTTGCATTTCTGGGTAGAGGACATGCACACGGCCTACCAGCGCTGCCATTCGCTGCCATGGTTGTAAATCACCGGGTCCCTGCCAGTGATTACTCGCCAGTGCCCAGTGATTGCCAAGCATCTCTGACGGGGAGAACTGTTTGTAAACAAAACAGTTCTCCTCCCTGTCAGCTCATACACACTGTTTTGCAAAGCAGTGTGATTAGAGTGCAACACAAACACACGGCCCCATGGTAAAGCACACCTAGCACACAGTTAACCCTTTGATCACCCCTCATGTTAACCCCTTCATGCCCAGTGCCATTAGTATGGTGTCAGTGCTTTTTTTTAACATTGATCACTGTATTGGTGTCAATGGGGATGCCAGTGACACCAAATCAGTTCCCCCTAGTGTAAGAATGCCTGTCGCAGTCCAGTTATAAGTTGCTGATTAGTAGTTAAAAAAAGAAAAAGTTCCAGTATCTATACCGCCTTTGTAAACACTATAACTTTTACATAAATCAATTAATTTACATGTATTAGGATTTTTTTTAGCAAAGACATGCAGCAGAATACATTTTGGTCTACATTTATGACGAGTTTTTAAATTTTTTTTTACTGGACATATAAAAAGTCAAAAAATAGTTTTTTTCTCTCAAAAAAAAAAAACTGCAGAGGTAATCAAATACCACTGAAAGAAAGCTCAATTTGTGAGAAAAAAAGGATCCAAATTTCATTTGGGTGCAGCGATGCATGACCGCACAACTGTCAGTTAACCTCCCTGGTGTAGCTCGGGGTAAACTTTCAGTACCAAAAGCGGTAACCCCCGAGCTACACTCGGGATTATCCTGCAGCACTGCTCCGGGATCCCTCTTGCACTTACTTTGTCCTGCGCTCCTGCAATGTCCCCCCTGCAGCGTCCCCGGCCATCTCCTCCAGCTGATGCCGGCATCCATCTTCCGGGTTCCATTCCCTGCGAGCGTCGGGACGTACGAGGGACGGAACCGGCGGAAAATTAAAAAAATTAAAAAATTTTAAAAGTGACATTCACTCAGTACACTAAAATCACATAGTAAAACATTACTGTATCAAAGCATTTCACATACATTTTGTCCCTAGTGCTTTGTCCTTTGCCCTACCTGCATTTTGACTGTTCTTTCTGCCTGGAAACTGAGAAACATCCATGGCGTCCAAAAAGCATCCCTTTTGGTCAAAAGGGGTTTTAGACCAGCTAGAGAACAGTGATAGTAAATTAGAACCACTTGCAGAACTGAGTGATAATGATTCGTGGGGAAATTCATCATCAGACACTGAAAACGATTTTGCGACTAAGCTCAGTGATGTGCAAACTTGGCATTCTATTTAAAATTTCACTGTTTTTGGTTTGATTATATTATTGAATTAAATTTATTATTATTTTGTATGATTATTTATTATATTATAATTTATGATTTCGTGTTTCATATTTTATCATACCCGGGATGTTTACTAGACTCTTGTTTGGACAGATTTATTCCTAAAAATTACAGGCCTGCAATAAAAAAAAAACAACATATTTCCATGCAAAAAAAATGTACCACTTTGAGCACAGAAATACTGACATAATCAGACCACTAGGGAGGTTAAAGTGATGCAGTGCCGTAACGCAAGAAATGGCCTGGTCAGGAAGGGGGGTAAATCCTCAGGAGGGCAAGTGGTTAAAGATACTCAGCAAAGGAAAACCTTTGAACTACAAATGAAAATTTAGTTTGACACCAGATAACAGACTGAATGCTGACCTCAGCTTTCATGTACAGTATGTGTATGTGTTTTTTAAGATTTCTAAAGTATTAGTGCAGCTCTAATACTAATACTTTAGAAATTGCAATTCTGGGACTGTTGCCAATACCCTGAGTGCTAGCTGCTACATTTATATTCATATTTATATATCATTTTTAATATTTTAGAACTTTATAATTGTATTACCAGTGCTCACTTTACTATTATTTTAAAGCATTTGTTAAGAGATTGCTATGTTTGTAGGCTTTGTCTTAACCTTTTGCTCTTCTACACCAAACTTACCAAACAATGTCTTTATGGACAGAGGCACAGTAATGCTGGAACAGAAAAGGGCATTCTTCAAACTGCTGCACAAGGCTGTAAGAGAACAATTGAATAAAATGACTTTGTATATTGTTACATTACTAGTACCCTTCACTACAGACAACTGCATACAGTAATTTGGAGAGGTGTCCACATAGATTTGGCCCTACAGTGTATTTGACTTTGCACTAATTGCAGTCTTGTGGATTAGCTGATCTCAGTCCAAGGGTCATGATTTAACCTTTGTCACTGTCACCACCACCTTGGAAATTTACTCCCTGCATTTTTCTCTTTTCTTTTTCAAGCTTTCACTTCTAAGGACAGTGTATTTAATTATTTCAAACTTAACAGGCATATGGTGTTTCTGTACAAATGGATTTACAAGATACTGCACCATTCAGACTGTGGCAAGAAAGTACAAAGAGTAGCTTTGTCAGCTCTATTTCTGCAATAGGTATGTTTCATTTTATCTTTAATTTATACTTGCCATGGAGCTTTTAGATGAAGGGCAGGGAAGGCATACAGTAATTCTATGCAGCTTACTTTTAACTGAAAACTATTTGAGTGAAGCTGCAAGTGAAGATGTTGGGGTTAGCTTTGTCAGCTGTCTTAATGAAAGAATGTTTAATTTTCTTCCTGATTTTACACTTGCTGCAGTAGAATATAGACAAAAGTAGCAAGGACATATTGAAAGATTTAATATAGCAGACCTTGTGTGAAACAACAGGAGTTAAGCAAAAAAGCAATTTCTGTTAGTTTTGGAATCAATAGGGTAGAGAAGATAATAATGCTTGATAACATAGTACCAGAAAAGTCTTAAAATCAAAATGCCAGAAAAGATGTGTTGTGGCAGGCATTACAGGACACCTTGTGATGAAAACAGTGGCTATTTTGCAATGAAATTAGAGAGTGTTTTCTTTTTGTTGTAATAATTTGTATGTGTTTGTCCATTAGGGATGAGGTTCAAGTTCACCCCTAACATAGGTACAAGGCAAACCTACATTTTTTCAGCTCACAGACCTAGCAAATATGCAGGAATCCATAGTAACTAGAGATGTGCACGACAAAAACATTTGTTTTGTTTAGTTTCATTCATTAAGTTATTCATTTTGTTTCGTCATATTGGTTATGTTAGAATGATTTGTTTTTTTAATTTGTTTTACATATTCAGATTTGTTTAATATATTTGTTGATCTGAATCAATTATTATTTATTTATTACAGGTACTTGTATAGCACTGTCAATTTACGCAGCACTTTTAAATATATATTGTACATTCACATCAGTCCTCAACCCTCAAGGGGTGTACAATCTAAAGTCCTTAACTTACATTCATACATACACATACTAGGGACAATTTAGACAGGATGCAATCTACCTACCAGCATGTCTTTGGAGTGTGGGAGGAAACTGGAGTACCCAGAGGAAACCCATGTAGGCACAGGGAGAACATGCAAACTCCAGGCAGGTGGTGACGTGGTCAGAATTTGAACCAATGACCCTAGTACTGCCAGGCGAAAGTGCTAACCATTTAGCCACTGTGCTGCCAATTTGTATTTTTGGAAGCTATTTCTGAAGATTCAGGATTCATTCATTATGTTGTTATGTTATTTAGAATGTTTCAAACATTAAGGCTCAGTTCACACTGCTGTGACCTCAAATTCGTGCGACTTCCAGTGCAACTTTGTATTGCGACCTAGTTTGCAACTTGCTTCCGACTTGATGCAACTTGCTTGCACCTTAAATGTGACTTTCTTGCCACTTTGGTGTTTTGCAACTTTGGCTTTAGAAATCATAATAATACAGAATGTGGCACATATTGAACCAATTGAAGTCACAAATGAATTAGTTGTTTTCCTTATCATTTATTTTGGATTAGCTGAAATTCTTTACTATTGTGATGCATCCGAATCTCTAAATAGCAAAAAATGTGTTAGAATTTTGATTCATAAAGAAACGTATCACACAGGTCTAATAGTAACCTGGCCTTTGAGCTTTGCTGGCTTAGAAGTGCTAATAAGAGGACTTTTGGATAAGCTGACCCCCTCACTATACAAGGATGGGTTCCCAGCAACCATATTGACTATGTGCTTTAGTTCTAATAAGGAAAGCATAGGGAGTGCTGCTGATAAAAGCCATATGGAGACATTAGTCTATGCCTTGTATGCTCTGGCAGGTCACTTAAAGAAAATGTAAAGCCCTTTCTATCCTGTAGGTAGCAAATTCCTTTGTATCTTGAAGACATTTTTGGTGTGGATGAGGTAAGGGTTTTTTATACCTTTTTTTATTTTGTTACCTCCTAATGGTGCTGATGTCCAACAGCCTTATTGAATCCTATCCTTGTCCATATGTCCAATGCATGATAATTGGCTGCATGTGTTTTTTCACAGATCATATTTCCTTGTTCTGCAATTGTTTTTTTAACGTCATTTGCTTATAAAGTTCACCTTCTGTAAAAATGAACAGTCTACTCTATTGAAAGCCACAAAAGTCAAGATGCCTGCAAAGACTATTTAAAAATAACATTGCTAAAAATAAAAAAAAAAACTTACCTTGGCCCTGGCTTCCTATGCTTTTGTGAGATGCAGGGCATGTCCCCATGACTCACAGGTACCTCTTGGGACAGCTGGCCATTCAAAATCTCATGAGACTATGCCTCTGAATGGGTCTGGAGTGCATTCTCATAGAATTTTGAGTGCCCTGCTATGTCAGGTAACAGCGGTGAGGCATGGTGAATGATGTCACCTGCATCTCCTGAAGACACTGGAAGCTAAGCCTACATAAGTATTTTTCTTTTTGTTTTTAGTTATACCTTTATTTTCAAGTGACTATTACAACCAATTTGACTTGGAGGACTTTCAATAGAGATGACCTTTCATTTTCATGGAAGGTCCACTTTAAATGATAGCTGAGAACAGTTGAATATACCTGGGCAACGTGCATCAACACAAAAGTCTACATTTAGTAGTAGACTGTCCCTTGTTGCTGATTTATTTTTTTTTTTTTTTCGTTTTCGGGAGAGCATGTAGCAGGGTAATTTACAGGCAGAAGGTTGTGGGAGCCAGGGGAAGAGTGTTGTCCCTTCATAAGACTTAGGGGTTGATTTACTAAAGTGCTAAAACACACCGTGCATTGTGAGTGCAATTGTTATATATCTGAGGGAAAGCTCTGAAATGAGGCGAAGCTCTGCTGATTTCTTTCATCCAATCATGTGTAAGAAAAAATGCTGTTTTTTAATTTTCCCTTGCATGTTCCCCTCAGATCTAGAGGAACTGCATTTGGAGTGCACTTGCAGTGCACAGCCTATTTTCCTTTAGTAAATCAACCCCAAAGTGTCCAAATAAAAACTTCTGTATCAGTATCACCAGCTGGTATTTTTATAACAGCTAGCAATTAAAATAAAAATAGGCTTCCCACGTTATATCATCATGTTAAAGCTTGTATGGGATTTTTGTGGTTATGCTTACATCTACTGTAACCAATTATTCTCGAGTTGTTTGAATTGCAGTGCTGGGGTACATTTTCTTGTTTGCCCTCCCTGTGATCAGTGCCTGTCCCAGCACCTTCAGCTCCATTAACCCCCACCACACCAGAAAATTACAGTACTGGAAGGTAGAAGGAGATTAGAGGATAAAGATTTCAAATAAAGAAGGAGCCAGGAGCACAAGAGGTACATCAGAATGATAGTAAGTCCCTTGTTGCTGATTTATTTATTTTTTTATTTTGACTAAATGTAGACTTTATTATTATAACACATTTTCTTAGTGGTCAGCTATCATTATTGCTAATTAGTTTTTTCTTTAGTCAGCTTAAAGGCAAAGTTTACCACTGGAACATTTACATGTTACACTCATATTCAGTGTCATGTTCAAAATCGGCATGGTTATGCAGGGCTCTGTGGATGAAGAAGCAATAAGTCCCATCTGCCACTGCAGCAGATGGACTTTTAGTTCTTAATAGAATGTTAAGGTTCTAATAAGCATCCTTGTAGCCCACTGACACTTCATCCAGCTTTCTAACAGAAAGCTCATACATATGTAAGGGTAAGAAAGCTGCAGGATGTGTCTGCAGAAGTCTGACACTGCACCTGTGATCCACTGATCTCAGGTGCAATTCTTTGTAGGCTTTTGTAGGAAAAAATAATAAATGCACATTTTTCTGAAAAATATGTGCATTTATTATTTTTTAAT